GCTACTATTTCATCCCTGCTAATGTCTTATTTAACCTACTCGGGATAGTTGTCATTTTGAAAATGTGCAAAATACATGAAATTTTAACTACATAATTTAAAAATACATGTATTTGTGCAGATTTTTCTAAAGTGCCTAGGATCTGAACGTATAGGGCAACAGAACACGACTCAAAGCCCAATTTAAAGAAAGTATGTTTTGAGCAGGCATCAACAGATAGACTGAAAAGCAAGGCAAAAGCATAGGGTTTTTTTTTAGATGTTGAGTGGACTAAATGCAATGTGAATTTATCCGCAAACCATCTGTGATTTCTGGTATTTTTTGATGCCTTCACAGCTCTAATTTTAAGCAGTTATGTAGCCTTTAAATAATGATACTTTCTTCCCATTCGGTTTTACATCAGATTCCACACTTGATCACTGAACGTTTAAAGAAAAGAAGTGGCTGACTATACTTCTCTGCAGATTGCACACACAGAGAGAATAAAACAGCAGCCTTTTATTTTTGCAAGTAAAATTTGACATATTTTGGGACAGAATTCCGCATGCATAAAATAACAGCAGGAGTTTTGCTGGGTACGGTTTACTTTTTGTATTTTGCTTTACACTTCTGATGTAAATTCGGTGCTGGGATAAGGTGTTAAGTTGACTTCCCCAGGGATCGGAACTCCAGAAGCAGCACAGCATAACAGCAGTTCTCTTTGAATTATCTTAAAACTGATATCAAGGGTGCCAGTTTCATCAAGGGGGAACCGAGGAGTCATAATCCATCCAGTCCTTAGTGGTTCTGCAGACAAATCTGTGACGGGCTGGATTTTCTGTGTGTGATGTGAACACTTTATAACCGTAAACTGAAACAAACTGCTCTGGATAAGGAACTGAATAGCCACGTGAAAATTGTAGTTCCTACAGTTACAGTGACCCCCTAAGGGGGCTGGGAGGTCTTCAGGTCTGTTTTCCACCCACTATCCCCTGTGGGAAAATCCTTTCAAATGTGAGCCAGGTCGCCTGAGAGCCTGAAACAATTCTAAGCTAACTCTATTCATCCCACAGGAAATCTGATGATAACTACATCATTGTCAGCTCAGTTCATTATTTCACTGTTTCTTCTGGCAGGAGTGTTCAGATAAGATTTTCACTCACTATTGTAGGATACGGTGGGAGATTCAGGGAACAATAGGAAAGAAATAGCCCTGAAGATCAAGGCTCCCCCACATCTGGAAATGTCTTGTCATTCCAGTCTTGTCTAAAAGGAGGGAGGTCACATTCCCTTCTCTTGGCAGAAGCCTCAAATGTGGGTTGATAACCCCCCAGCTCCTCTTCTGTTTCAGTAACGTGTTGTGTAGTAAACTCCATGGCTAACTGAAGACTGAAGACCTGAGAAAAATTAATAGGAATGTAAAAATAGCAATAATATCTTGCCAATTGCACTATTGAGCATCACAATTATTTGAACAACAAAAAAAATCACATTATTGTATTTATCTGAAGTGCTGTCAGCAATGTAGCAATGAGGTATGAAGAAATGAAGAGGCCTTGGTGATGAATATCAGTCCAACTTGCCACAGAATAAATGTCAGCATTTATCTATCTCAGAGGAAGTTAAAGATCATTTCTTACGATGTCAGTTATTCCAAATGTTGAGTCCTGTCCAGACATATCATGAGAGATTATCTGCACTCGGTATGAAACCCAGTAGTCGCCATTAGTTGTCTCTCCTGACAAGAAAATTAATTTCTCTTAAATGAGAATGCATTTCTAATTGGGTATTTTCTTCCCTAACAAATTGTTTACAGTACCTCTGCAAGGATTCTAAAATCATCCCTTTTCTTTGATGTTGCTGATTAATTACAGCCCACTTGGCTCTTAGTAGTTGCAATTTGAGTAATATTGCCATACATACTTTGCTGTGAGAGGTTCCTCTTAATTAGATGCTCCCCAGTCAAGCTCCTGCTTCGGAGGAGAACTGAATCTTGTCAAGCTGCATGTGATGCCTGCTTGGATTGTTACTTTTTTTTCCTCCGTTTTCTTTGAGTGAGTTCAGAGCTTGCGTACGTTACGAGACTGACAGCACCCAAAATGAAATTCTCTCTTTAGCCACAGAACAGACCCAGAACTGGCAGTTCACTGCAGTCTTCTCTATTCCAGCTCTTAGTCTACCTACATGGCACAGCGCAGCAGTGTGTGGAGATAACTGGGGTAGCTGTAGCATCCCCGTGTTAGCACAGTGGTCTGCCAAGAGCTAATTAGTGATGCTGAGAGGCAGGGTTTATTAGCCTGGTCAGATTGCTGAACTAACGAAGCAGGCTGGTGCTTGCGTCTCTCTACATCGTGACACTGCGCTGTGCAACGTGGATGTAACCCACGTGCTTTAAATGGGATCTTTTTTTGGAGGGACATCACTAGATCCTTGAGCTTCTGGTGGAGAGGATAAAAGACGTCAGTTCTGATGCTTGCTCAGATGTGCATACGTGTCCATATTGGGCCACCCAAACCATTTTGCAGGAGCCCACTCAACAGCTGTCAGGTAGTAAGATTTTTGGATGTTTTGAACATCAGCTAGATTCTTGCCTTTATGTTTTACTTGTGATTTTAAGGCAAAAAGATTTTTATTGGTAGCTTGCATATATCCTGGTTTCACGTATTTTATATCCATAATACCCTCTTATGATATACCTTTAATGAAGATGAAATTAGCATCATAGATGAAATGCCTTGGTTTGGGCAAGCTGCCACTTCAGGAATATTGCTTATAAGAAAGCAACTTAGGCAAGGCAATGCCCTACAAATGGGCACACCAAACGATGCAGTCTTTTCCTTCTAGATGTGGCAAATCCGGAGGACAAGTAATAAGAGGAAGAGGAACTCCTGCTCTCTTCTTTAGCCATTATCTTTAGGTGTTGAAGCAGAGTTTGCCTTAACTCCCTATGGAGCCAATGGAGTTCTTAGTGCTCTGAATTGCATGTTGTCTGTTCAGGAGAACTTGGCTCCTTATTTATGCAAGGAAAAGCAGATTTCTGGAGCAAAAAAATCTGAATGTCCTCCTTTGAGTTTCTAAGCCAAAGCTATGCTGTCCTCTTCATTCTTTAGGGGCAAGTTCTAAATGGTTCCTTATATATTTATGAGTTTGTTTTCAGGCCACTGTTTTATCATTACGGTTTAAAAATAGTAAAACAACTGTCAAACCCTTTTACTGTTTCAGGTAGGATATAAAATCAGGAATCCTTGCACTTGGGCACGACAATGACAGAGATCTTGGAGATAGTTAAAATAAATGTGATATTAACAGCTGAAAATATACGTTTAGAAATAATAAATATTACATCAGAGAGGAAGAAATGGAAAAGACTCATCCATTTCCAAAGGATAACATATAAACTAAGCTACAGACATCTCCAATGTGCACCCAGAGTCTGAACTTTCCAGTGAGAGGAAAAAAGAATAATGCCATGCAGGCATGATCTTTCAGCCTACAAGTATTCCCTTGTAATAACACAGAACCTTCTTGACCAATGTATTGGTCTAAAGACCAATATATAGTCTAAAGAAAGGTATTTTATGTATAACATAACTAGTGTTACAGATCCACAAACAGTTTAAGTTGCCAGTCTGGCTGAGATAGTCCTGTCCTTTCTTCCTCTGGCTGCTATTCTTTGAGTCAGTGCTATTTTACATAAAGGACTATTCCTATCTTGTTCATATTTGCCTTACGAAGCGTGCAGAGTCCATTGCTGATTCTTTGAAGTACACCACTATATATTTCACTGTTTATGTAGGCTTCTGCTATGTTGCTTCCAGGTTTGCTTTACCTCTGTGCTCAGATACAACAGCATTACTAAGGTCCAGAGAAGCAGAACCACAGCCTTTTCATTTTCTCATTCTTCATGCTAAGTAATAGGGTTTCACTTAACAATACCTCGCATGTTGTCTGAGAACATTTAATTGATCGGATGCAATTTTCAGAATCTGTTGTGTGATAGACAGAAAAGTGTTGCTGAGCGGAGGGCAAAGTCTTGCTTCACTTGGCCACTGACACATCTGCTGGTCCTTGTCATATTCATTTCCATTTTACATATATATATATATAAAACCAATGCCCCTGACTAGAAGATCTGACTGTGTGGATTGTGCTCACTGAAATTAACTAATACCTTTGTGAAAGAGGTTGTTACTTACTTTACAAGCTGAGAAAACAAAAAAAACCCTAGCCTCGTGCTGCAATCTGCTCAGTGTGGAGTGACCACCGGCCTGCACAGCGCTGCGTTTGGTTTAGCTCTGTTTCTTTTAGCTGCACCAGAAACATTACTGTAAAACCCAGCTACTTGGTGCCTCGAACTTTGCTGAGCTTTGCAAACATTCGATAATGTTAAGGCCGGCTCCTCATCCCGCTGGTTTCAGCAGTGACCAGGGTCGAGACATGAACTGTAACACGGGGCCCAACCTTCAAATCTGAATTCAGTCTGTCCACAAGTGTAAGGCTTATAGAGTATTCTCACAGCTAAGCACAGTTGTTACAGCCGGACGGGGCCCCTTTGCTTCCTATTTTAAATGGTTTTATTTCTATCTCTGTGCCTGGGAAACACTCTACAGGTCCACAGAACATCCAGAGGAGGTAATATACCCTATATTGTGAGCAGAAAGTGATGCACGGTGCAGGAAAAGAGGAAACTGGAATAGAAAGAATCTATTTCTGAGGAAGGGGAGAGATGCTCATGCCAGTGCACGTTTCATTCACTCTGAGGCCAGGCAGACATCTCCTCAGGTGCTCCTGTCAGAGGCAGTGGGCTCAAGGGGCGCAGGGCTGACCCGCCTTCGCTAAAGAAACACTCGAGGTTAGAAAAAGAGGATAAAAGGCTTAAAAGCGACGGTCAACCTTCCCTCCCGCCCGCGGCAGCCCCTGAGGGAAACGCCGCTTCCCGCCCCTCCCCATCAGAGCGCGGACTACATTTCCCAGCCTGCCCTGGGGCCGCCGCGGCCTCGCCGCGCTCCTGACGGGGAGAGGCTGGGCCCGGCCGGCCAAGATGGCGGAGGGGGTGCTGAGCCCCGGGGTGAACCTGGAGGCCTTCTCCCAGGCCATCGCCGCCATCCAGGCGCTGCGTTCCAGCGTGACCCGAGTCTTCGACTGCCTGAAAGATGGGATGCGAAACAAGGAGACCCTGGAGGGCCGCGAGAAGGGCTTCGTGGCCGCCTTCCAGGAGAGCCTGCACTCTGTCAGCCGCGACCTGGGGTGAGCAGCCGGCCCTGAGGGGGGTTCCCCCCCCGGCTCGGGGTGCAGCCGGGCCCCTGGGCCTGCGGTGGGGAGAGGGGTCCTGGAGTTCTCGGGGCCTGTCCCCTTGGAGGCGCCCGGCGGTGCCGTTTCTCCTCCCAGAGAAAGTTTTAGGCAAATAAGTAAGAAAACACTCCGGTTTATTCTTCCCAACCGTGGTGTTGGAAAATGGAACATTGATCATTCCAACTCTGGAATGATTCCAGAGTTTAGAGGGATGAGTGCTGTTCATAATGGTTACCTGGGTTTTGTTTTTGTTTTAAAAAAGGAGTTGTTGGTGGGATTGCCTTGGCAAGGTGAATGCTTTTAGTTGCAGGAGATCTTTCTCTGTTTTCTTAAGTTTGTTTGTTTAAAAAAATAAAAATCACTTTTTAGTCTCTGGGTATTCAGTAGCACTGAAGTGGTCAAGAATGACTGTGTTACTACCAGAACTTGTAAGGCTGGGAAGTCAATATGTGTAAGTATAGTTGTTTAGTACCACCAGCGGAGGTGTTTTGTGTAGACAAAGTTGAGGCTGATGGTTCCTGTGGATCCTGTCAGAGGCTGCTGGGTTGGGCTGTGTCCTTCTGGGAGTCACCAGTGTTGTCCAGGGAAGTCTCTAAGGGTTGGGCAGGTGCATAACCACCCTCCCCAGCACATCTTCTGGCCTTCAGAGACTTAGGGTTCAGAGTCTCGTGTACAAGAATTTGTTTCTTGCTGGCTAATAGGCCTTGCCATCAGTTCCCTGACTGTTGTTTATTTTTATAACCTTCATTAAATGCAAATTGAGATATTTGGGGTTTTTCTTTACAGAGATTTTCAGAAGTCACCCTTTGAAGGGGCTGAATCCTAGTTTTAATTTACTGGAAGTTCTGAAGTTCAGAGTAGGACGTAACATTCAGAAGTCAAAAGGAAGGACCCCTGATTGGTCATGTCGCTTGAAAAGCTGCATTTTATGTCTGTGCAAAGTAGCCAGTCTTTCTTCTACAGTTGATTAATGCAAATTTTTAAAATTGCTTAACTTTTGTTGTTATTAAATGTAGGGTGATGAATGAGATATGAAGTAGTAATAGATCATTTCACAGTGAGGTTTTTTTCATGGGAAAATGGTGCTTATTATGCTTCAGTTGAGTATTTTATGCATGTCTACATATGTCAGAATTTTGTGGTTTCCGAGAGTATGCATTGCTCAGAAGATGCCCTGGGTTCTAGACATGCTTGTGAAACAGGACCTGCCATAGTTTGGCTCTTTCAAGGTTGTGTTACAAAGACTCTTGACTTGTACTTTCTCTCCTAAGAAGCCCTGAGCTTAACAACTAACAGACCACTTTAAATTGTTTGGATAATGAGAGTGATTATGTTTTTTATCGAATTGGGGAGATATTTAAAACTCACTTAGCTATTAAAATAGAGTTCATGCACGACGGCTGTCTCCGCAGGAGGATGGTACATTTTCAGATATCTGTATCTGCAGATCTGACTTTAAAAAAAACACCACTCTGTTTTCTTTCAGTGAACTGGAGCGTCTGAGCAACCTCGTTGGTAAACCATCTGAGAACCACCCCCTGCACAATAGTGGACTCTTGAGCTTAGATCCCGTTCAGGACAAAACACCTCTTTACAGCCAACTTCTTCAAGCCTACAAATGGTCAAATAAGGTAACGGAATACATCAATGTCATTCCCTTGTGTATTCCTACAGAATGTTTAATTTGTGATACAGTAGACTTCTGAGTGTTTCAGACTGTGAGAATTACTGGTTTGTTTTTTTTTTTTTATGAAGTTGAAGAGCGTAATATGTACCTAAATGTTCTTTTAAGTGTAAAAATAGTGGTTTCAGAGGAGACTTTTCTGTCATACTGAGGTGTGCCCCTGTTTTCAAAGGGGGTGTTAACTCCCAAACAGAACAATACTTTCCATGTTGGCTGTTTAGCATCTTACGTAGGTATAAAATAAAAGTATATTTTGTTCTTGTGTCTGGCAGTAGCAGAGGGCAGTGGGATATTAGAGCAGAGAATCAAGAGCTTATGTCACTTCCGAACCTATTGCTAGGAAAAAAACATATAGGGAAGTTGTCATCATTAGAAATCTGATGCCTTTCTGTACTGTATTATCTGCTCCTAAAAAACATTTGCACCTGGTCTCAGAAATAACAAGAAGAGATTCCAGAGTTGTAGCTTTTAACAGCCTTATACAAGACAGCAGGAGTAAGCAGGAATAATAGATCTGAAAATATTTAGGGCATTAAAAGAAACAATTCCACTTTAAATTATTTATTACGGTACATGAGCAAGGAAGACTTTGAGACTAAACAAATAGGTCGTAGGCCAATTCTTGTTATACAGTGAACCAACCAATCTAGTACTACTCAGATTTAAAATAGAATACTACAATAATGTTTGTATGAATACCACAATAATGTTTTTATAGTCACTTTTCAGAATACAAATGCTTGTGTCTTCTAAAATTAGAGTTCAGCACTGATAGAAATTTAATATGATTGGAAAATGAGGGACAGGAAGGATTTTTAAGTAGAGATTTACTAATTCAGAAAATGTTTCATATTTGCTTGTGCTTCCTGCTGTTAGCAAGAAAAAAATAATTGCTGCTTTCAGGAAAAAGTAAAACCACCTAACATTTATGCACAAAAACTTCTAAACTTGTAATGCAGTTAAGTCATCAGTGATTTAGTTACTTCTTTAGGTCATTATCAGAGTAAATTCTGTTGATCATAACTTTGACAGAGTTGTTCTAATGGAGCCATTTATTAACTTAGTTACGGAGATTTGAAGAGCAGTTTTTTGTAATACTGAATTTCAGAATTAGTTACGGAGATTTGAAGAGCAGTTTTTTATAATACTGAATTCTGATTACAGAGAGCAGAAAGTTTCAGTATCCTTTGCACTCATATACACAATTAAAAGTTCCAGGAGAAAACCGGTATTATTTTTCTTTTATTTCTGTTGTCTTTGACTTCTGTTTTACAGCTAAATTAAGAGATACTGTTTAAGTTGTATTTAAGTAGCTACTTTCTACCTAATGGTTCTTCTGAACTTTGCTAGCATCCTTTCCAGGGTTTGCAGTAGCCAGCAGGCATGGGTAGGTTGCCTGTGTTTCTAACAGCGGATGTGCTGCGTGTGTGAGGGAATTAGTGGCAGGATTTACCATTAGCAACAAAGACCCTGATGGTGCTCGTTTATGTTGCTGCTTAATTCCTCATTGCTAAATACATTTCTTGAATAAGTGTTATTTCATTACATCTTATGGCCGCCTTCTGTTCTTAGGATGTGTGCCTGGTGTTTTCTGTTGCTTGAAGGGAAGATTTAGATGTGGTGATATGTCAATACACTTTATGTCTGTCCGCATTTAATTTTTAATTTGTGACCCCTTTGTGGTTTGCTTGCTTGTATTTTTGATGAGCTGAGATAAGGGCATTTTCCTCTCTCTTTGATTGTTCATGCATTACTGATAGCATGAATAGCCACATGGCTGCCAGGGGAGGGTAGATGCAATAGAGTTTCAGGGCTATGATGCAATTCCAAAAGTACATTAATGAAATATAGGGAAAATGAGTACTCAGGTTTTGTGGTGTATGTTTCAATGCATTCTGTGTATTTTTAAAACATGGGGAGGCTGGTAATAGTAGCCTGTAGGACAATAATGAGTAGGGTTGGTAATAATGACTGGTCTGTCTCATAAGAAGCAAATTATTGTTCAATATTTCAAAGCACTATGCATAGTACTGTATATTAAAAAAAAACAACCCTTTGTTATGTAATTTTTTATCTAGAATGGAAAGAACAATTAGAGGCTAAAATGGCAATTCTTAAAAATCCCAAAGAAAAAGAAAAAAAGGCCAGCATTTCAAAAGTAATCTCATATAATAGTCCCTTTGTTTAAAAGTGGAGATTTTTAGTTGGTTCACAGTATTTCTGCTTTGGAAATGATAGTCTTAGCCAGTTTTTGGAGAATACAGTGACAGTAACCTTCCAAATACCATAAACCACATGAAGCTCTTTAAAGCATAGTACTAGGAGATTAGGCTTACCTGATGCTTTTCAACTTGTTTGTTTTACCACAGTTAATACTTGCAGCTGTGGCTGGTTGTGTATTGTGAGAAGACCCACTTTTTTGGTGTGAATTTGTTGATCTAACTCTTTGGCTTGGTGCAGTGGAGATGGGTTGCATTTAATTGAGATTTCAGAGATACTTGCCCAGAACCTTATTTTACTGCCCCTGTTGAGTCACAACACTAGCTCCTCTCTTCCTGGGTGTCTTAAGTTTGCCTGCTCCACGGGTACAGAAAAGTACAGTGGGAAAAATGAAAACTTTCCTTGCAGAAGTGTGGTATCTTGGCAGTGCTTGTTATTTATTAGCACCTGCTATCCTGATATTTACTTACTGTAGTTTACCCAATAGTTTTGCAGATGGTAAAGTTGTCCTTATAATGGAAGCAGCTGTTTGGGAACACAACAGCTTGTCAAATGCATTAATTACATACACATGCAGCTGTAAAGGAACTTTACTTTTCCAGGTGTTTAACATTAGAGCTCACAAGCTACAGCTGAAAAACACAGGAAGTTTAAGCTGATCTTATTGCAAGCAAGAGCTAAAATGGATTTTCTTCTTTGTGTTAGCTTCTTTTATGTATTGGTAGAAATCATAAAAGTAAATTACTTTGCTGACTGTGAGTGTGCATGGAGGCATACAGTAGCCATGGAGCAGTATTTAGGTCTACTTGATAATTTTTTTTTTCCCCTTCCCTTCAATTTTATTTAAGAAAAGAGGTTTTCTTCATTACAGTTGAAGTGCTGTTTCCCAGAAGTATTTATATGTGCCCTCTAATGTAATATTGAAGATACAATATTAGATAAGACAAAAAAGAGCTATCATTCTGTACGGGTAATGCAGATAAAGTATTATCGGTATGTTAGGAAGTTTGTAGAAATCAGTAGTGGTTTTTTTTTTATGTGGACTGTCTGTCTAGTAATTGTAGTTGATTTCTGGTTTGAGTAATTACGTATATCTCAGCTGTTGAATTTTTTGTAATATGATTGTTGTGGCTGAGCAGCTGAAATCTAAGATGATGGTAGCAGTTGGAAGGGTTTCTGGTTTGTATGTGCGTGGCCTGATACTCCTGGGAGCAGTCAGGGCTGGGTCTGCAGGGTGCCCCTCGCTGCCGTGCCTGGAACAATTTATTCCTGTTGCTCTTCAGGACACTTCTATAACAAGTGCCCTTATGCCAGCCTTCCACATTCCTGGGTGCTGCTTGGTTCCTGCAGGAGATGAGACCATGGTCCCATGAATAAGAACATCATTTACTAAGCAAATGAGTGTTTCTTCATATTTGTTCTCAATACTGGGTGACAAAGGGGCTTTGTGGGGGGAAAAACCCTTGTTGATGATGTGATTAAACCAATATTATAAACTTATCCATATATAAAATGTTAATTAATGCTTGTGATGGTGTGGTTGCCTGATGCAGCTACAGTAATGCTGACAGCCAGATTAGATGCAGGTTTTTGCAATCCAGGAGTTTGAACTAATTCTTTGAGTGGTATCAACTTCTGTTTTCCATCTGCTGCTTTAGTGAGGTTATTTATTGCCTGTAGTGTGTATTTGTTCATCTTTTTTGCCCTTGGCAAAGCATTTGTGTACCCTTGCCTTGTGCATGCCCAAGGCAGTGTCTGTTAAGGTGTTTCCATTGACTCCAGTGGAACAGAAAATAATCAGCATGTCATATGTCCACTCAACAATGCAAATGCTTTCGTATGGTGTGTTTCCCCTCTCTTAATTGGGGTGCTGTCAAGTAATTTGTGCCCAACAATTGAGCTTTAATCACTGGTAGAGATTTTTTGCTTTTGTTTGTTTGAAAGGTATATGCAAAATGGATCAACTACCAAACCAACACTATAGAATTACTCTTTCTACCAGACTGAAGAAACATTAAGTTTGTTGGAGAGCAGCAAAGTCTTCCCTGAGTTGCTGATAGCAGTGTTAGCAGAGTTTACTTGCTCAAGTGAAAATACTGTCTTCTGTAAGTCATCTTTCCTTGCCCCCCCCTTTACAGTAAAGAGAAAGCTTTCAGACTTTCAAATAGTATTATTAACAACAGTAGAAGTGGGGGAAATTTAGGAAAGGTGTAGTCTTGAACAGGTGATGTTATTTGAAATTTTTTCCTTGATTTTTAACTTCACTGAAGTGTGGTGTTGGATGTTCTACTGTTTTCGGGGTTGCATTTGTCTGTTTGCTTTACTCCAACACTTCTGTAGTTTCAACCTATGTGTGTAGGTGTATGTGAGTGGTGATGATACCGTTTTATCATCATGAAATGGTGCTTTAAAAATATGGTAATCGTATGTTTGGGAAGGGCGTTATGTACCACTTCAAGCAGAAAGCAAAAAAATCAACTTTTCTGATTTTATGACTCTCTGGGTGAGTAGGATTTAGATCAAATTATTTAATTTACTCATCTGTGAAAAGAAGATTATGGCAGCTTGTGTAAACTTTACAGTATCAGTGTATTGTAAATATACCAAGTGAATGAAGCTGGACAGGAGTTTTCAAAAATTTATTTAAAAGTAATACGAGGGCAAGTACAAAATGAAATAAAGTTACTGTTGATCTGCATGTTGAAATACACTAAAAAATATTTAATT